AACTGTATGCCATGGGATTGGATTAAAGGTGTGGGCTACCACCGCCTAACTCTGCTTATGGCTCACTATATGACCTCACTATGTGACCTCTGATCTCCAGGCAAACTTTTACTTATTAACATACAAATAAAATCACATTTCAGCACAATTAAAATATCACCACACATATCTGTAACCCCAGGACTCAGATGGTAGAGCAGAAAGACCAAGAGTTCAAAGCCATCTTAATTACCTAGCAAATGCAAAAGCAATGTGGGCTACAAGAGACCTTGTTTCAATAAGTACATCAGTTAACAAATAAATATTGTTTGACAAATTGTCCCCCAAAATATGAATAAATGTGAAAGAAAATATATATTTAATACCAGTTTTATAAATAGTTACATATTTCTAACATGCCATGGTACCAACCACAAAATGAAACAATAGTTTAGACTGTCATTAGGTTGTCAGTTAATAGTTGTTAGGTTATAATGTAACTTTAACAGGGATAGTCTATAAACCTAGAGCCTCCCACCAAAATAAAAACTAGGAGAAAGAAAAAAAAAGGTGGGTGGGAATATGCTTATATACTTGTTCATAATACTGTAGTCTATCAGCAAAATATTACTGAATGCCTATTGCATATGCTGTACTGTTCTAGAAATGTTATGCACTCAGATATTTTATTATTTGATCTATGTTTAATTCTTTTCTACATATGAAAGTTGACTCCATAATGAAACAAAGTGAAAATATTAATGTTTTTCTTAAAAGAAATCCAAAGGCTCTTTTAGGACCATACTGGGGAGCAAGGAATTATATTGGCATCCCTTTTAGATTTTTATGATCCAAAGGTAAAGCTGGGGGGCTCAAGAAATGGGTCAGCAGCAAAGAGAACCTATTCCTCCTGCAATGGAACAGAGTTTGGTTCCCAGCTCCCATGTCAGGGAGCTCACACCACTTGTAATTCTACCTCTAGGAGATCTGGTGCCCTCTTGTGGCCTCTATGGGCACCCACACGTACATGGTACGTGTGTGTGCATACACACACATACACATATACACACATTTTAAATGTAAAGCTGAGCCTATGATTTAGTTCTATCATATCATTTTATTCTTCATCACTTTATACAATCAGATGAGAAGAGAGAATAACGTGTTCATGTTTTCACAGGAGGAAAGGATGACACACTTCCCAGGCTTTCCCATGGGAGGTACCCACACCACACAGTATCTGTTGGCTTTGTGTGCCAAGACACATCACATCCTTGCCTGCCACAACAGCATGCAGGCTCGTTATGGGCCTGTAAAATTTTGTCTATCCAAGAGGAACTAAGATCTTTCAAGTCTGGAAATAAGAAAATTAAGAAGTTCAGTCTAGGCTCACTTTCAGGGTGTTTCCGTTTACAAATCCCTCTGGGCTTCAGTATTAACCATAACATTTAAAAAGCAGTCTACATTGCTATATAAGTATGAAGTTCTATGGCTAAATATACAAATCAGCTTAAAAGACACAAGGGAGAAAGTGTAACAGAAACCTCTGTTGGTTCCCATGCTTTCGCGTAAAGGATTTAAAATTTACAAGCTGGAGAGATAGCTCAGCAGTTAGGAGAGCAGCTTTTTTTTTTTTTTTCCCCCAAGACAGGGTTTCTCTGTGTAGCTTTGGTGCCTTTCCTGGAACTCACTCTGTAGCCCAGGCTGGCCTCAAACTCACAAAGATCTGCCTGCCTCTGCCTCCCGAGTACTGGGATTAAAGGCGTGGCGCCGCTGCCACCACCGCTACCACCACCACTTGGCAAGAACACAAAGCTTTTGTAGAGAAGCTGGGGCTCAGTTTCCAGCACCCACATCAGGTGACTCATGTCTGTCTGTAATTCCAGTTCCAGGAGATTCAAACCTCTTTTGGTTTGTGTGGGGAACTGCACTTGTGCACAAATACACACAGACACCACACACACACACACACACACACACACACACACACACACACACACACACACACGCATAGTTAAAATTAAAATAAGGGGCTGGAGAGTTGGATCAGCAGTTAAGAATGCTTGTTGCTCTTCCAGAAAACCCAGGTTCAGTTCCCAGCACTCACATGGCAGTTCACAACTATCTGCGACTCCAATCCCAGGGGCTCCGATGCCCTCCTCAGGCCTCCTCAGGCACTAGACAGGCACACACATGATGTGCAACTATACATGCAAGAAAAACAACTAGACACATAAAAATAATATATTAAATATTTTACTCTTTTTATTAAAAAGTAAAATAGATTAAGACAAAATATACCCTGTCTTTCTTGCTCTTTGGTGTCTTACGGTGGAGTATTGACTACTGATGGTCCTGTGCCTTTTGTCAATTTCCATTTGCAGACAAAGTTTGAGTCAAGAGCTGAGTTGTACTAAATCCCCTCAAGAGAGCCGGGGTCCATTCTGGGTTGGGTAGCTGAGGACCTGTGGTACCTCTGGTGCACCGAACATGAAGAGCCAGCTTCTCGTGAAGTCTCTTAGTAATGGCATTGAGTTGTACCAGGCCTCTCTGCCGCTCAGCCCTCCAGAGGGCTCGTGACAAAGTGTTGCCAGCCTCATTCCCATCAGACATTGCAGCCATCACCCTGATGTCTTTAGCAAGCTATTCTTCGCTGATAGTGAACTTTTCCCATACGATTATTTGGCCAACACAGCTTTTGGCTTCCGGATACTCATTTCCTTTCCGGTATGCCTGGAAAGGACATGCTTGATGGAGGGAGGGAAGGAGGGAGGGAGGGAGGATGGGTGTAGGTAGCAAATGGTAATGTAGATGCTGGTCAGGTGGCCATCTATAGTTCAGTCTCAACCTTTTTGCTGGAGGATCTTAGCCCTCAATCGAGGAAGTAGCTTTCAAATATAAATGAGAAAACAGGTCAACAAGGTTGACTACAGTACAAACTAAGTGAATTTCTTTTGTCAAAAATGGTCTCCTCCTTCAAACAGAGCATGAAAGGAAAGTCACCCAAGAGTCCCCCTGGGAAAAGCTCTGGTGCTCTTCACAAAACCCGGACACTGCATTCAGCCCAGGGCCATTGCTGTCCAGTTGATAACTGAAGAAGCCTTAGTTAGGTTGCCGTTCCTGAACCTGGGTGTGTAATGGACATCACTTGGCTCAGGGCTCCATCTTTATAAATGAGCAGTTGCCAAGTTGTGGCCCAAGGAAAGGAAATACAATATCGAAACAGTCTTGTGAGGCTCAGACTTTTGCACAGAACCAGCTACAACCAGGTTGTAGGAAGCGACTGTCTGGTTATTAAATTAACAATGTGGGAAACTGACTCGCCTCTTCAGGTTTGGATGACGGTTGCATGAAGCGAAGGCTGGTTATTAAACTAACAAGGTGGGCACCTCGCTGGCCTCTCTGGGTGAAAATGGGTAGTGGGACAAATGGTCCCTCTCATGATGGAATGCTTTGATTTGTTTTATGATATTTAATTGTCCTCAACACGGTGTTTGCAATGAGATGAATCTAAGACCTAAGTAAGATGCTACCTCAGAACAAACGTGAATGATGTCGATTGTTTCGGTACCTAAAGCCAATGGCTTTGTTATGGTTGGGGGGAAAAATGAACAGAATTGTGTGATAAATGGTATATGAACATGAAACGACATGCCTGCCGTTTTTCAAGTTAATTGCCATTACAGCAGTGTTAATCTTTCCTTTTGTCGTTGCTTATAAAGACACGGCTCGTTTTATGGAGAATTCGTGAATCGTTTCCAGGAAACATACATCCTAGGGAAGAAATGAGCATTTTGCTGTGGAAACACACACCACCGAGTTGCGAGAATTAATGGGCCCAGCCCTCAGATGATAAACCTTGCTGCTGAATTAAATGCTTGTTACATTTAATAGTTTGCCATGTGCAATATGATGCCTTTTAATCCTTTAATGATTTCCAGTTACAACAATGACTGCTCTAACAAACACGTTCCAGTGTGGGATGAGGTGTCACTGTGTCATGCAGCTTGACTGAGTGTGCTGGGTCATTATTTTACAGGATTTTTTTTTTCTCAAGCCATATCAATCATGTTCCTGAGATGCTTAAGGTTTTCTTCCTCCTTCCATCTCCTTTACTAACCACACCGATGCTTTGGTGCAAACTTGGAAGCATCGTTCCTTCCTACGCTAACACTAACGTGAGCCTCCCCATGTCACCACTCACTCATGTTTCCGACTCAGAAGACGTCCTAAGCCAATCTCTTCACTTATAATTTGGTGGCTCCATCTCCTCCGTGATCTTGGCACCTCCTGTTTCCACTGCTCAGCCTCTTCCCTAATGCTCACTAATGTACAGCGCTTCGGACCCCCTGTCTTCTCGGTGGCTCTTTGTAGTGCACGGCAGGTTGTTTTTTAACTCATTCTTCGAAAGAACTTAACAGCTCTTTGCGATCCTTGTCTTCTTTTGCCAAGCTGTCTCCATTTCTCAGCCTCTCCAATCTGACCTCTGGAATGACCCCCCTCCTCTGCTTTACCCTGAATGCTGGTTCATGTTCCCAAGAAGAGCCTACTAACTGCTGTCCTTATTCTCTGGCGGTACTAACGTTCTTTCATCCGCTTATCTGCAATTCTGCATTTCCACTCCTGTCCTGCATTCTTCTACCTGATTATTCTGTGTCCACTGAGCCATTTGGTTCATCTTTATCTTCCTGCTCCACCTACTCATTGCTTATTGGTGGGTGTAGACAATGGGCAAAGGATTGACATGCCTATTAGCGCACTTCTTATCATTTTAAAAATGTCTCCATGTACATTTTAGCTTTCGATCTTTACCTGAGAATTGTGTTTCTCTTTCTCAAGAAACTGACGTTTAGAACATCCACTCATCCTAAAACTCACCCGAATGTAGGGCTCAGGTCACCATCACTTCCTTCCTACCCCTCACTACCTCTCTCTGGAAGAAGGATTGCAATCCGTGACAGATCTTCACTGTGCTGGGAACTGGATGGGAATTAACCAAACCCTTCATTATGCCGTTGCAGATGAGAGTCCCTACACTAAATCTGCCAGCCAGACAAAGCCGCCTGACGGAGCATTGGCTGTGAGGAGACAGAGCATCCCAGGTTAGACCAGACTGATGGATATTTCAGCTGTTTTACTTATTATTGAACCCTGTTATTTGGTGGTCCTAAATAATTCCAACCTGGTACCCATGTTGCTCATAGAGCGTGGATGGCATTCCACACAACTCATACAAACAATGACAGAAACTGGGTCAGGAAACCTTGCTGACCTCCGAGGATTCATCTTGTAGCCTGACACCACAAAACCCTTTGTAAAATGTCTTGAACTGATAACAACTCTGTCCTTTGCTAGTCTTCTCTCTGGTTTCAGCAAAATAGATTTCATGACAGCATCCGTTTCTTCCCTGAAGTGCCTGGCAGAGCAGAACTATATGTCGATGGTGTGTGTGGACCCAAAACAACTCCTTTCTTCTCATCTCTTTCTATTTAGTTTTGCTTCAGTTGTATGGACTCTTGTAAAACTCAGGGGCTTTGAGTCCTTAGGAAGATGGTTCGGTTTCTTGCAATACAATGAGTGACATTTTTCACACAAAACATTTGTGAGAAATATATTAAAATGTTCTGCCTCAAAACCAGTACTTTGAAGCTTTGGTTTTGAGGATGGCATAAAAGCATGTACATTGTCAAATTAAAAAAGGAAGGAAATGCAAAACACTGTCTCCACTTGATAATTAAAAAAACCATTTGTGAGAGCACCTGTGCATAAGAGCTGGGTTAGAAGCATTAATAGGATTTAAAGATCCATTTAAAGTGTTTATATATTTCATTAAGCACAGCTAAAGCTAAACTATAGGACTTTAGACGAGAGTAATTTGGGCAGTTATGGAGTTACGGAGCAGCGTTTCCTACATTAAGTTGAATAGATTGGCCAATTGCTTGATGAATGGGGGAATGCTGCGTTTGAATAAGAACAAGATGCGTCTAGTTGTGGGAAACTTGGCTCATGGTTTCTGTTTGGTGTTTTCAGAGTTGCCTTTGGTTGTATTTAAGCCTCATTTAAAGCTTTAGAGTTATCAGGAAAAATCCATAGCTTACAAAGAGACATGCATCTGCTGTACCTCCTTATGCTGCTGCTTTGAAAATTCTGAAGTAGTTTAAATTACAGAATTGGTCGGCAACACCCAGTGCCATTGGAACATTTCTGTTCCATTCTGTAAAGCATCATTCTTAGTGCTGGTCACATTTAGAAGAACTATTGGAGCCATCTCTAAACTGTGTTCACGGCTATAAGTAAGTGCCCAGCCAGTGTTTGAAGGTCAATAATGCCAGCTCTATATCATTCCCCTCCTTGACTTCTTTACCTTTGCTGGTACCTGGCATTTCTTGGCCAGAAAGAGGTAAGAGACATCCCACTGCCCTTGCCCACTGGGAAGGACACTATAGCTCCATATTTGATAAGAATGTAAGATACTTGATTTTCCGTGCCTTGGGAACCAACCTTACAAATGGAACCAAATGACCACAGACCAAGGCCTCTGAAGGAAGCTATAAGTCAAAATATAGCCCTCCTCTCTCTCATGGCATTATCTTAGGCATGTGGTCACAGTGACGACGTGCCATAGGCTAGGATCCATGACTTCCTTCCAAGAATTTTTCTAATTTTTCATACTAAATTGTAACTCACTTGAGGGGACAGACATTTTCTTAGAGTCACATTACCCATTGGGTTAGATTGGTAAATCATAACTATTTTTTTACACCCACAAGTGATTCTTCATTGCAGAATTTTTGTTCTTCCCACTGTGGGTGATTCAAGGTCACTGGAATTAAGTTTTTTTTGGTAGGCTTCATGTGTTATTCTCATGGAATTTGGCCACAAAGAAACTTCTCTTTGCTCATCCTTCATAGAGCAGAGCCCAGAGGGATTGGGCCTTCAAAATCTTCTCTATCTTTAAACCAATCCAAGAGAAAAAGATACAGCAGCCAGAGGGCTGAGACTCTAAATGGTGGATGGTTCCTTACTGCTAGCTTCCACAAAAAACAAGCTTCTCCCAAAATCCTCCCCCACTAACTAAGCACTCTTGGAATTCTGGGACTGCTCTACTCTCTCGCTTTCCAGTACCTGTAAACCCTTGTTTGGAAAAATGAAGGGTACAGCCCCCAGAACCTTAGCCAGAAGTCCCTCAGAGGTAAAAACCAGCATCAAGAAATCTTGACAGTTCCCCTGATGATGCATCTCCGTCTTTTCTTTTGCACAGTCCAGGGCGGAAAATAGACATGGCAAGATGCCTGGCAAACACATGTTCACGATTTGCTGAAAACCCCAGAGTGGTCTATGGACTAAGCTGGATTCAATTTTGCAGCTTTTCTATCTCTCTCTCTCTCTCCTGTGCTCACCTTCCAATCTCACTTCCCCGGAGGTATGATTACCACCCTCAGAGCAGAGCAACTATATTTAGAGAACAGTGTCTCAATGAGAATACAGTCTTGGCTCATCAAACAGCTTCTGATCTTTGGGTGCAGAGAGACCTCCCAGGCAGGTGCTGTCCCGGAGCTATCTAACCTCACCAGCTCCTGTGGAGTGAGACAACATAAGGAGGCAGAACCCTTCAGAGAGCAAGAATGCTCCATGTCTGCCTGCAAAGGTGTACACTCGGCCTTCCATAATGATGATTGAAGATAACTATTCCTATTGGCCTTTTCTTTGATGGGCAGAAGGAGAGAATGAGGTAGGGGAGGACATCTTAAGATTGTCTGTAAAAGTTTTATGACAATTGAAGCCTTTGAAAGTTTTTATACAAATACAGATCTAGTCCATATAAGTTTCTGTAATGGGGCTGCACTGTTTTCATGACCTAGCAGATAGTACCTCTTAGCAGCTCTGTACCAAAGGGGTAACTTTGAATGTTTGAACAGAAATGTAATTTGCTTTTCATTTACTTCAAAACCCAGTATCTCCACATAAACTCAAAATTAGTATAGCAATTACTTTATAATCACAAGTCAAATATGTATCTTTCGTTGAATCCTTTCATCCCCCTCCTTCCCCTCCCACAAAAAAAAAAAAGGCAATGTATTAAAAATCTCTTAGGAATAAAGTGCATTTGCTTTGGATAAAAGAAAATGCATTATTAATATTATTTGGGTACTCCTCATTTTAATCATGTCTATTGTGGCATAAAATTTAAAAACAAAAAAGTTTTTTTTGATTTTCACAAGCTTTTGTTAATTTTTAGCGATGGTAGTAAATGATGACTGGCCCTGTGACATTAGAGGATAAATTTAAGGATAACCTTCTATTAAAAAAAATAATAAGCTGGGTGTGGTGCACATCTTTAATCCCAGCACTCAGGGAAACAGAGGCAGTCTGAACTCTGAGTTCGAGGCCCGATGCTGTGGATATCATTCTGTATAAATAAAACACTGATTAGCCAGTGGCCAAGCAGGAAGTATAGGTGAGACAAGGAGAGAGGAGAATTCTGGGAAGTGGAAGGCGTAGGAAGGAGAGACACTGCCAGCCGCTGCCATGACAAGCAGCATGTGAAGATGCTGGTAAGCCATGAGCCACATGGCAAGGTATAGATTTATGGAAATGGATTAATTTAAGCTATAAGAACAGTTAACAAGAAGCCTGCAACACCCATATAGTTTGTAACCAATATAAGTCTCTGTGTTTACTTGGTTGGGTCTGAGTGGCTGTGGGACTGGCGGGTGACAGAGATTTGTGGTGACAGGGATTTGTCCTGACTGTGGGCCAGGCAGGAAAACTCAAGCTACACCAGACTGGTCTACAGAGTGAGTTCCAGGACAGCCAGAGCTACAAAGAGAAGGCCTGTCTTGAAAAAGCAAAATAATAATAATAATAATAATAATAATAATGATGATGATGATGATGATGATGATGAAGTAAGGTTTTAATCTTATTTCAAAGATAAAATTAGTTCCAAGTTCAAAGGTATTCTGAGCTATCAGATACAACATGTCTAGCTTTATGAAAAGGCTTTAGATCTGAGACCTCTTTAATTGGAACATTACTGGTGAAGGGGAATTAGGCTGATTAAAGGGTCATACACATCAGTGACAATCTGTCCATACTTTAGCTTTGACAGCTTTGGAAATAGCTTGTGGTATTCCCTACTTGAAGAAAATATTTTTAATCGTATCTGTCTATTGTGTGTAAAGGGAAGAGATAGGACAGTGTACTAGACTCCAAGTCCTAGAGTTGGTGTCCTGTTGATTTGGCTTGTCTCCCTTTTCACAGAGGGTATCTTTCCTTGGTCGTAATAGTCTTTATAAGGAACCCTGTACTACGGACAGATGTGGCAAGCTATGAGATATCACCTCTGTTATCTTTCCGAAAACTTCAGGGCACCCAGAAAAATTGTCTTAAATCTGCATCCAGATTTCGGTCACAAAAAGTTGTGGCAGGTGTTTTTTCCCTTTGTAGAGTATTACAAAAGATATTGATTTGTTCATCGGTGACCAAGTTTCAGTCTGTCTTAGTTGTCACATGCAGATATTTGAGCTGGACATTTAAATATGAGGCTGAGAGTCTAAAATGTGTCCCATTGCCCAAGAGGCACCGAGGAGAGCTGTTAGAATACACCCAGGAAGGCTCCACGTGTACTCAAAAGTCACAGATCTGAGGGGAAAAGATTGCCATGCCCTCAACATCATGGAGAACTGGCAACGTTGAGTTATGGAGAGAGGACAATTTAAAATGTTGAAGGTCTTTATGTCTCTATTATCATTTTCCTGCCATTGTTGTTCACACCCTCTGATGCTTCATCGATCCACATTTTCATTATTGCAGCAGATATCCAGTGTGACATTGGCACTAGGATTTTATAGCTGTATCAGTGCTCAGGCATGCAGAGGCTATTTGCTCGGATTTTAGAGCCTGGGTCTACTCCAGCTCTTTAGTTCTATCGATGAAACTCTCCAAGAGAAGAGGGAGTCTTGCCAGATAGAAGATGGAAGTCTGCTGAACCCTCCAAGTAGGAAATGTCGTACAGGGGCTGGTCCTGCAGGTGCTGCCTTTCATCCCTGACTGTTTACAAAGCTAGCTAAAAAATGGCTCCTTTATTCTTAAATAAGCA